CCCCCCCCCCCCTCTCACCCTTCTCCCCTGGTTTAGGTTCCATGATGTGACTCTGAGTCCTTAAATATGTCAAAACCAACTCAAGATCATAAGTAGACAGGAGTTTTGAGAAAGATGACTGACAACATCTCACTGTGGCAAAAGTGTTTGGCTGTGCAAAAGAAACTGTGTCCAAATGAAATTCTACCACAGTTTTTGAAACATTTCTCTCTCTTTAGTCTGACCCCTGGTTTTCTCCCTCACATAATTCTTCCCAAAAATTGTGTGCCTGACACAGGCAAAAGTATAAATAAGGTTATACATAAGGGTTAACTATTTCATGAATCATGAGTGTTATAATTTTAATATAAAATACGGGCTATTTCCAGACAAAAAAAGGTTTGACAAGACCGTGTCTACCTGTCAGTTACAATGTAGGATCTGTATCGGTGTAACTGAGGTAAAATTTCCACACAGCCCCATACTATTTTAAAACAAATCTGTTTTCCCAATGGCAATCTATTGTTTTTGTCATTGTTTTCTCTATCCAAAAACTGAATGCATAATGTAGTATGGGGCTGTGCGGAAATTTTACCGTTTTTTTTTTTCTTACTGTACTTATAAAAAAATACACGCAAGGATGATGGCGATACAGGAGACAGACCCAAACCACACTGACAACAAATGCTTTGATAGACAAGTACAATCATTCAAACAAATTTTAAAACACTCTAGCAAAACCCAGTAAAGATATTCCTTACGTACTCTGCAAGCCAGCTGTCCAATCATCCCCGTCACAAACAATCATAAGTTTAGTTTGATCTTCCAGGAAGCTAAAATATTCTTCATCGTCGATCTCTGTTCCATCACTGTCAAGAAATACTCGGCAGTTCCCTGCTGCTATCCCCAACTTTGACCTTCCCCTTTCCTTGAGTTCGTTTAGGCTTTCTGCGACAATTCCTTGAGTTTTTGTTCGCTCTGAATTGCAAACTTTAAACGGTTTACGTCGCTTTTCTTCCATTAGTGCATGGATAGGTTATATTTCACTTCAACTTGTGCACCATGTTTCAATTCCACTCCCCAGTCTATTATCAAATTTCAAACTAGCTCCCAGGTTCTTTCGGTATTCAGTCGAATAGAAGAAACTGTTCAGACGGGATAGAGGGAAACAAGACATTAAAACCTTAATAATGTACAAGAAAAAATTACGCGCTTCTGATAGGCTGAAAGCTAGTGCATTTCTCATGTAACACGAGTGTAAAGTTGTAACACAAGTGCATATTGCAAATAGCGCGCGCTGACAAAATTTCGTCTGTCTTAACTTTCTGTGATGCTTTTTCATATAAATTATTGTCAAGTAACAACATGATTTCTCGTGCAGTTTGGTGTGAATAAGCATTTGTAAATTTTTTCAAAGACAAAAAATTGCAAAATTACAAATTCCGTTGTCTTTGAAATTTATTCGTACTTACTCGTATCCAATTGCACGAGAAATAATGTTATTACCCATACATGTACTTACCCAGAAGTACATGTAGATGCATGACTACAAGCAAATTTGGTTTTATTAAATGAGTTGATAATGTAAACTAGCGATCGGCAAGAGTTTCTAAGGCTGACGTTTCAAGCATTAGCCCTTCGTCTGAGCGAGAGGATGCAGCATGCAGAATGCGTCTAGTTTATGATATGTTTATGATATGTTTAGAAGAAACGACGAGAAACTCTGTTTCCTTCTGGAAAGTAATGACTTTTCAATGTCATAGCAATTATTTTAGGTCAATCTCTACAAAAAAAAACAACAACAAAATTCGTTAGGTGCATGAAACATTGAACTCACTGTAATTGGACGTGTGCCAGTTTATGACGTATTTTAGTAGACACGGTACTTAATCTAGAAAAAAAAGACTCGTTAAAAAAAAAGGACAAACAAAGAAACAAACAAAAAAAAAAAAAAGAAAAAACTCGGAGCTGACGAATTAAAAAAAAAAAATGTGAAACCTAGGGAGAAAAGGTCAGCTGTAAACATCTTTATTGATGACAGTCATTTTGCATTGATTGCCCCTTTAAGTCCCCTGCAATGAATTGATCGCTTTGGTCTGCACGCACACTTCTTATCATGGGCAGGACTGAATTGCTGTTTCAGCGATAGTGTAAAGATTTTGCTAATGTACTGATATACTTAAACCTGATATTTGTATCGTTTAACTTGACTGAAGCGAAATAAATTAGCTGCATAGGATAATCCCTTTCCTCAGTTTTTTTCGCAGATCATATAGGTGTACCTTATACGTGCGTGAGGTGGCCTACAATTGAGCAGAGTGGAAAATAATCAAATTTGAATCATGCGTTTTAACTTTCAATCAACTTTGTCGAGTGTTTACACGAAATACTACGAACACACAGATAACTGCAGAAATAGCTAAGAGAATTTGCTGTCCTGGGAAATAACAGAAGCGTGAAATTGAGACAGAAACTTATCACCCAGAAGGGAGAAAGTTGAGAGACTTGGTTGTTTAGCATGATTTGCACTGCTTCTTTTTAGGTCAGTGCGCTATTTTCCCACCATCGATAGGAATTTTTCACGTCATTAGACACTTTCATGTAAATAATAAACGATGGTATTTAGCCCATGCCCTGATAGCAGCAATCATAAAGCAGACAATCACAGGCAAATGACACTATTTTCTGTTATGCGTTCTCCATCTGAGAGCAAAAACATGCCTTACAAGGGTTTCTGGGACAGTGACAGGTTACAACATCGGATTAAAAGTACTTTGCCGTTTCCTTTCTTTGATTAATAAAATGATACCTCACACTGAGTTTCATGAAACTTCAGCGAGTGTAAAACTAATTTATGGTGGCCGGATATCCCAAAGAATTTTGATCATGCACCGTGAGTCTCGTTAATGGCCTCGTGACCAGAGAAAAAAAACACCCAAAAAGTTACAAAAACAGATGATGTCTCAGATGTGGTTTAGATACCTTCAGCTACAGAACAAAGTCTGCTCGCTATCCAGAATTATTCTGCCAAAGTTTCAAACGCAATAGACCTCAAGGTTAGCTGAAGAGTAACACTTCATCCTACTCAAGAACTCGCGTAATCAACCACAAAAGGCGGAAGTCGACCCTTTAAGGTTGGTTTGTTATTTTGTTTTTCTTAGTTTACGTTTGGCCTAAAAGGAAAATAATCGCGGAAACTTCAAAAGAACCTGGGGTTTGAGTGTCTTTCCTCAACAGTGCAAAAAGAGAAAAAAAGTATTCTTTCATTTTAACGGGGGTGTAAATGAATTGATTGCAATTTGATATGATCACGAGTATTTGAGTTGTACAGACAAGCAAAGAGGTTGAGGTGTTTGGTTATTCTGTTGTATATTCTTACTGACAGGATTAAAAGTTATTACGTTAGTTTCCAACTTACAACAAAGAGTCGAAGGAACAAAAAGACAATATCCGGTTGTCTGTGATCATCAGCAGTGCTGTTTCACCAGACAGGTCCGGCAGGAAGCTTTATGCATGCATACGCCAATGATTAACAGTGCTATACTCGAGAAAAGTTAACTTTCGTGTAAAACAGTTGATGCGATCTAAACTCTGATTTCGTAAATTTATCCCAGAAAGGGTATAATGCACAGCATATAGTGAGGGCAAAGAAAGATACGTGTATCTGATCGATTATCGTCATTCTGTTTTTGATAGCCGAGGGCATTACGATAGGTACCTAATTTTTCCATTAATTTAAACTTTGAATACCCTCGTGAAAATTTTAAAACACTTTGAATTAAACTGAATTTAACCTGGAAAAAATTAGAGTTATTTTATGACTTCTAGTTCTAAAAAATACCGTAGCCATGCTGTAAACACGTGTAGCAGTTTTCAGGTCATCATCCTTCCTCACTGTGGTTCCAACAGAGTATTGCATTGTTGATTCCTACAGAGTAATATGAAGCTTAATAATAAATAGATATAGGTGTGGGTTTTAACTTGCTACACACTTGATATTAGTAATAACAAAAAAGTTCAACTGATCAAGCCTTTTACTTCACAACGAAACTCATTTCCCCATCTCTACCGATGTTGTTTGTGAAGGGTTGTCGGTTATGTTGCGTGCGATGTCCGTTCAGGGAACACGTATTTCCTCCTTCGTGTTGGTCAGCATCCTATTAAAGATAGGTTTGCTTCATAATCATGACAATTAACAACGGTACAGTAAAGTAACTGTATAAAAGCGATAAATGTAATGATGGTCTGCGGCTGTGAATGCCGTAATACTCATGTGTAGTTCTGATGGTTAGTATTAAAAGTCCAATGGGTTTAGTCAGGAACATCAATAAAGTGTTAAGCAATCACTTAAGAACTATTCGTCTGTATTGAAACAAGAGCCTTGTTTTGTTTTTTTTTTTCCTTTCAAGAAAAGAAACCGCACAGTCAGTTTAGTTGTTAATCTCAGTCTTCATAAATCAATAATTTTCGCTACACATCATGCGCATCTCTACATGATTATGATATCGATTGAGGTTTTTTTGTTATTTTGTCTTTAAAAGTCAAAGGTTGCTTTTAAAGATACAAAAACCCTGAGGACTTAAGTTCTGCTCTCAGTAAACTAAAGCTCATTGATCTTTCGTCGATATACGGAAGGAAATGCTTAGAGATGAATGAGTATCAAAGTTCGTTTTCTTGGTTTTTTTTTAAGTACGTTGAATTCATTCATTTCGCACTTGCACGTGGCACATTTCACTGAAGAAATCGACTTTGGGCAGCTCTTGATGAAGCCATAAAACCTAAATTCAAAGATTTGGCCTAAAATGAGAGAATGTAAAACTTTTGCTACAATGACTTGATTCCCAGCACCTTTAGTCAAAACATTCATTCTACGAACAATTCGAATATTACCCGTCCTGCAAGCTTCGATATATTGTTTCAGCTCTCGAAAAGTTAACAAGCATATAACCGAAGGAGAACACCCATTTTGAAATATTCTTACTTTGAATGTATTCAACTTTTAGAAAAGAATTTTGATTGATAAAGATCCAAAAAAAGTACTGCATTTACGTCATGCAGAAAAAATTAGAAATTTGATAGGGTCAAGATGAAGGTATCGCCAGGCGAACCGGTTTACGATTCTCCCTGCAGCCATGACAAATCTGCGTATTTCAGTCTCCAGAGAAGTGATGTGAATTCTTTTTGCGACTAAAATGAAATTGTGCATTGGACATCATCATGTGCGTAACTGTATTGAACATATCTTTTCATTTTCACGCAGACTTCTTTCAGCGATTAGGAAAAAAAAAACCATTTCTCTTAATTCATCCTAGCCAAACAAATTAAATGACGTGACTGATTAAATGATTAAGCTTACTAGTCTTATTGCTAATGCTGAAAGCAAACTTACAGTGTATTTCAAGGGCAAAATATTGTTGGTAATTCATGACCCATACCAGTCCCTTCTTCATCCTAGAAATGTCTAAATCATCACTTAATGGTTCAAATGGGGCGTTCGTTTTCGTTCACGATAGACACAAAACTGTTTTAATATCATGAAAAGGGAAATCTGCTATGAAATTAAACAGCAGCAAATGCATGTAATTCAGAAAAATGGAGGAAAATTTCTCCCAATAAAACTCCCATTTCGGATGCTCTGAATAGGTTTGCTTTCATTAATCAGTTATTCAGTGATTTCTGTGATCTCTAATCATAGAAATATTTTATGAAGCGGTCATTGTTCTACCATTTTTGTTACCTTATTTTTTCAAGACCTAGTTTCGAGATGTTTGAGCTGGAGAATGAGTTGTGAAAAAAACGTAAAATTGGGCCTTTGAAGGTCGACAGTAACCTTAAGCTCGCCCGAAAACAAACAGGAATACGCTGAGGTAAAACACTGTACACTCGAAACAATGGAGCGAATACTTTTAAACGCCTAAACTTTCGAACAGGAAAGATACGAGGAGACAGCCATGCTAAGAAGAAATATCGTATCACTTATAAATTATCAAAGTCATGGACTTGACTTGAGCTCCAAATTCTTTCTTTCTTCCTTCGTGGCTGCTTGAATCATAGATGCAGCCAAATGTTACGCCAAGGAATCTTTTCAGTTTTGACTGGCAAAAGAACTTCTCTGCTTCTACTATTTTCTATGAGAAATTTCACTATTTTTCTACTTAATT